ATTCAGAATAATGTTTGACCAAAAACCTAGTCAAGTTGACATGCACAATTAACCATTACAGTGTCACAATATTGTAGATGTAGTAAACCAGATCTATCGACCATTCTATGATACTCATTTTTAAAAACTTATTTGATACTTATTTCTGAACTTAGTCTTGTTTTCCTCCAGATTTATATTGTGTTCCCCTTTCTTTTATCTATCAAACACCACCTGTTCTTCTGACTTACTCTAATATAGCTACTAATCTCTTTTTAATTATAAAATTTTTTTTTGTTGCATAGCTGTGAGCTTTTGTTTCTCTAACTCAGTGGACAATTTTCTGAGGGTAGTGACTATGCTTTTTTCCCCTCTCTTCAGCTCTTTTCCCTTTAAGAAGCAGAATACTTAATATACAGATAGTGGTATTTGTTAATTCATTCAACAACTTAATGTGTATTAGATATGAGACTCTGCTCTAGGCCCTGGCAATATAAACATGAATAGTACAGAAATAGCTTTCTGGTAGTAGAAAGCAGATAAATAAGTGGTTATGATACAATGTAGTACTATGTTAAAAGGCTGAACAAATCCTTGGGAACCCAGATGACATGATAATCACTGTATTTATCATTCAGACTCATGGAAGATTTTATCTATCAAAGGAATCACATTTTCTCATCTGAACCTAAATGAATAATCAGGTAAATGGCAGTTGCAGTTTAAGGGAGACATTTTAGAGAGAGTGAAGGGGCTACAAAAGCACAGATATGGAGGAGAAGAATATGTTTGGGAAATGTGAGAAGGTCAATAATCTGTAGTATAAGGCTTATAAATGTTTGAGAGAGAAGAGGCGTGCTAGAAGTAGCTAAAGCTAGAGCTTAGAACACTTGATATGCCATTGCTAGAAGTTTTAACTTTATCCCCATAGGCAATAGGATCCAGCAGAAATCCTCAAGGGAGAGTGACATATTCATATTTTAATTTTTTTACAGATAATTCTGGGGAAGCTAGCCTTAAATAGGGAGAGAAAGTAGGAGCTGGAATAATTAAGGTCACTGTAACAATTTTGTCCAGAGATACTGAGGGCCTGAATTAGGTAGTGAGAAGAGAGAATGGACACTGAAGTTTTGAGGTGTTTTTAAGGTTGAATCAACAGAAACTAGTCACAGTTTCAGGGAAGGAGAAATTGGAGCAGAGGAGGTAAGAGAGAAAATGAACATTTAGAGTATGTGAGGGAGAAGGAAAGACTGATTGCAACCCAAGTTTCTGGGTTGGAAGATGGAGTGAGTGGTGATGGTTTGAAATCAGAATTTGATTAGAATCAGATATGTTAGGAAAGGTGTGGAGTGGAGTTTTGCATGTGCAGCATTTGAAATGCCTGAGAGGCAGCTGGGAATGCAGATCTGGAGGACAAACAACATGACTAGGCTGGGGAGGCTCGTGGTCCTCAGATTAGCACCAGCCGTGAAGCCACACAAGAAAGGGAGGTAGTCTGAGGAGAACGTGTAATGCTATGGGAGTCCTAAGAGCATCGACATACCTTGACTTGTAGGTATTTGATTGACTACTTGAATTATAATGGGCCCACTATGAAGTAAAGGAAATGGGAACATTTTATGGAGAAATCTACAAAATTCCATCCAAGTTCTCATAAGTAAACTGTCATATATCAAAGCAGGTTACTAAAATGGAATCTTTATGTGTAGCTGCATAACTAAGCAAGTGAGCTAATTTGTATTTGATTCTCAGGTTTCATCTATAGACAACCCAACCCCATAATCGCTATGTCCACTCTTGCTTCACTACAAGGACTTCTCTATGTAGTAGCCATATATATATCCATATATATATCTTTTTTTGGTCAACTAAAAAAAAATATTATATATGTATGTATATATATATATGTATGTATATGTATATTTTGGTCAACTAAATGTGATGTTCAATGTTTGTATGTGAGCTCATCTCTTTTCTTGGTACCTGCCAACCTCTTTTACCTCATCTCTTACATCTCTTCTCTTTACTCATTGGGCTTCAGCCAAAGGCACCGTCTTCCTGCTCCTGCCATAAGTCTTGTGTATATGGTAGGCACTTAATAAATATGAAATGAATGAATGACTCTACCTTCTAGGTTTATTGCAAAAAGAAAATGTGGAAAGGTATATGAAGAGCCTGTTAAAGTGCCTGGTTTGCAATAAATGCTACTTTTAATCATTTTTGTCCTGTGTTACCCAGTCTGTAATTTTGATGTTTTCCTGCCTTCCTCTGCTCCAATCTACCTTTCTAACTCTTCCCATTCAACCAACTCACTGTGCTTAGTTTTTGCATCACCAGAGTACAGACCACATGTATTGACATCTCTCCTCAGTTGGCACTTGATACTATCAACTTCATCTAATCCCCTGAACCTTTTCATACATGTCCTTTCCTGAGTAACCGCATTTTTTTATTATGCTTAATAATTATATATGGATTCCAGATCCCAAGGACACTGAGCATACAACAACCTTTCTGCAGGAATTCCCAAGAGAATGTGAATCCTCTGAGAACTCAGTTCCAAGATTACCAAGGGACTCTTGTGATTCATTAAGCACTGTCCTGATCACATCATTATGCGGATTTGGAATCAGCAATTCATAAGTGATAGCCAGTACTTACTGAACACTTATTCTGGGCCAGGCAAAGTCCTGAGCACTTACATATGTTACTTTACTTTATGAGTTGGGTTTTATTAGTATTCCTATTTTATTCCTACTGACTTGCCAAAGGTCACACTGTTAGTGATTTGCAAGTTAGGATTTAAGCCCACGTGGTCTAATTTTAGATTCCTGCCCTCAAGTATGCTTTTATATTTTATAGTGCCTCAGTAGCAGTTCCAGGGTCATAAAGTTACTTTTATTCTTCAGTGTTTGATTTTAAATTTTAAAAATAATATGCAGTTATAGTTTTTAAAAAATTCCAACGTTTCTTCCCTACCATTTCAAGTCTTCGTTCCCTTAAGGCAACTACTGTGAGCAATATTTTCAGAAGTTTTTCTTTATGAGACTTTTTTGAAACTCTTAGTGTGATTTTCCTCTCAACTTTTGTCTTCTGATAAGTCAGCTTATTCCTAGTTAGTTGGTGAAGGTGTTGAATATAAAGATCCAGAGGCACTCTGATAGCATATATATATGTATGTACAATTTGGGTTGACCCAAAAAGAAAGGTGTTCCACCTCTGTGCGAAGCAGGTTTCTAAAATTAATTAAATTCTTACCTGTTTGGGACCCATGTACATGAGTTTCTGTCTGAAGGAGCCCTGCTTTTATTGTAAAACTCCTGGATGATGAATTCTTCAGGTTCCCAGGACTGAGGCTGTTATTTGACAGCTCATCTATGAACGTATCACCTTGATGCTCAGAGAAAAATGAACAACAGCCCCTCTTGGCTAAATAAATGGGGTTTGATGCTCTTTTCAGTGCATGGTTTTATGGACTCAAGAATCAAATGTGCTCAGAACAATGTGAAGAGAGTTTGGCTTCTGGACCCGTATCTTTTCTCTACCCCTCCGTTCATGAAGAAGGATGCTATAATTGTTAATCTGCCACACAAAAATGCTTCCACAGAAATGGCCATGCTTTTCAGCAGGCAGCAGAACATCTTCCTAAAAAGTGAGGTCACCTGAAGCACAGAGCAGAGAAATCCCAGATGGCACTAATATCTGATTTCATTTTTAGCACGCTCATATTCAGCAGATGGATTGGAAGGCTGACCTCTCTGGCACTTCTGCCTCACTGCCTGCTACTCCAATTGCCTTTGCGAATGTTTTTTCATAAGGCTTCTCCTGGTACCTCTGAGATTGATGCCTGGTCGCCCGCCCATGTTATACTTCATTACGCCAAGGCTCTGTGTGGTTGAGATTGCCAGATTCTATAAAAGGGGAAATCCTAGCTCATCAGTATCTCAGATTCTTCCTACTATCTCTCAAATTGCTTGTAATGTCTCAGAAAGTGTCATCTGAGCTTTCTAGGTGTTACTGTCATTTGTATCCATTTTTAATGTAACCAAGTCTTCTTCTTTCTCCTGTGGCATGGATAAATTATGAATAATATAAAAATCATCTAGAGATGGCTAAATTTAACTGTTTCTGACATACCTACCAGTCACCTGATTATATTATGGCAAATGTTTTTGAATTCCTGCTTGCGCTATAGCTTCAGGGGCTAAGAAGTACAGCTCTGTGTTGGAGTGCCTGACTCTGCGATTTCCTCTACTGGAGAGTAAGCCTCAGTTTCTCTGGTTGTAAACACATGGTCTTATTAGGACCAGCAGTTGGCACTGGTGTGAAGGTTAAATAAGGTAATGAATGTCATGTGGCTGTCAGAATGCTGGCACAAGAATGGATGCACAAGGAATGTTAGCTTGTGGTATGGTTGTTTTTATTTTGTTGCATATGTGTATAATGGTAAACTATTAAATAATAAAATAATTTTGTTTCATTTTGTTTGGATTGCAAGGACACTGAATTGTTTGTTAAGGAGGACGTTTTAATGATCTGACGCTTTGTTTCAAAGCTTTTTATTATAAAACACTTCACTCTGATAGATCATTACATAATCTACATACCTATTTAGGGATGGACTCTGGAAATGCAGCCCCCTCTTCCTCTCCCTCCCTCCCCATCTAGTTTATATTTTGGTGATACAGCTAGACAGAACAAAGTATCACATGGCGTGAATATTCAGGAGGTGTTCTGTTTTTCCTGGCAGGTTGACCTCTGTGGCCATTCTGTAGTTCTCTGGAAGTTCCGAGAAGGATTAGGCTGCTTAAATCCTTCCGTATTGCTGGTTCTCACACGACCAGACTCTGGTGCCTATTTTAATGCAAAGCCTACTTCTGGCTTAGATCACATTGCATATTTAATAGCTTTTTTGCTCGAACAGACCTCTACCCAATGTGATGTTGATGAATTTAGGTTTTAGATGACTAGTGCTTTATTGTGAAGCTTCCTTTAGGAAGTTACTTTTCTCCTTTTTATAGATCTAACATAAGGCCAGACTATGCAGACTCCAATTTCCATGAGTTCAAGATGCACACCTTCAACCGGGTTACATCCTGCAAAGTCTGCCAGATGCTTCTAAGGTAAGCTTGCTCAGTCCTGTATTTCAGCTTAAAGGATATAATTGCTAAGTATAATCACTTGTCTCATATCTCAGCCAAAACATCCTGAATTAGGGACATTGCCTTAAGCGTTTGGATCCAGCGTCCCTTCCCTTGGCCCTGTACCTGGACAGCTCCTTCAGAACCCCCAGGAAGGCCCTCCCGTCCATGAGGTCTTGCATAGCACTGTCCCCTTGCTTTCCCTCTGGCATTAATGATTTCACAGAGGCAGAATTTAGCACCTTTTAACATATCACTGTCTAATTTTACCTTTCAGAGGAACATTTTATCAAGGTTACTTATGTTTTAAATGTGGCGCAAGAGCACACAAGGAATGTTTGGGAAGAGCAGACAATTGTGGCAGAGTTAATTTTGCTGGTAAGTCATGTTTATAGTGATTCTATTTTTAATTAGGACATAAAACTTGATAAACATAATTAAGGCCAATTTACTCTTAATATATGTTTATTGTAATGTATCTGCTTTTGAAGCTGTCATTTATAAGCACAGTTAGGAAAATATTTGACATTCATGTGACTTTGATAGCTACATGGGAGGTAAAGGACCTCAGAGGGGCTGGTAGGTTTCATGTCACCCGTTTCATTCACACTGACCCCTAAATCTCAGTAACATTGGAGAAATACAGCCAAAACACACAAATGAAGTAACAAAAACAAAACAGAAAGAAATGGTTCTTCTGGCTTTAGTTCTTAAATTTCTCCCTTATTCTCTTAAATATTCATCTCAGAAATGCTAATGATGCCAGAAGTAAACACCATACAGACTAACTCATGAATTAATGAATTGAATACATTGTCATTTTTCAGCACTTGACAAAGAGCATCTATTCTTTGGTTGTGTAAATATTTTCCCCTTGGTTTTAAAAAATAATGCCCCATGATTGCTACAGGAGCCAGTTGCTAAGGCTGTTGGCAATTATGCATTCAGTAGCCTTTTGCTGCTCTCAGCTCCTCTTGGGCTCTCTTCCTTCTCTTTCTTTTCTGGCCTCTTTATTCTTTCTCTTTCTTCTTCTTTCTCTTTGTCCTTTTCCCCTGAGTTTCTCTGTGTTTTATCAGTAAGACCTTTCAAAATCAGTAAAACTTTTTGAACAGAAGAAAGGGATCTTTAACAGCTTGAGTTCAAAAGGCAGTCATGTCAACCTTTGATTTTCCCAAAGGAAAAGGTGGACATTGAATTATTTTGGATAATATGAAGAAGAGTGAAACAGAGAATAATAGCTCATTTCAGAGCTCAGTTCAGAAAACGGGCAATTGTAGAAAAAGGTGTGAATCCTATTAGGGAACTAAGATCAGAGCACATTCCTCTCACTTTGCTCCTTCAGGAGACATTTTTTAGGGCCCCATGAGACATTCGGTATGAGAGGCAAGGGCAGTTGCAGGGAGAAAGATCCTGGCATTAGGTGAGCCACCTGCACTGTGCACACCCTGCCTGGCCCTCTACGAGGCCCTTCCTGCAAGAACTCATTCAGTCTGCAGAGCAGCCCTCCTGTCTCTGATGGGGGCCAGAGTGTTGATGCATTTTGCTTAAGGTCTGTTGAGTAAAGGAGACAAGATTAACACCCACTAATGTTTGTGAAGGTCAGAAACAGTTCACACAGTTGTAAAATATGAAAGAAATATTACATCTTGTCATTTTTAAATTGCCTACCTGATATAGCTTACCATTAAAATGTTCCTTGGTCCACCTTTATTTGCCCCATCTTTTAATCTCTTTGAGGACAGTTAACATGTTTTTTGTCCGTGGTAGGCTCGTGTATTTTCATAACCCCCACAGCCCCGTCTTAAGGGTTTCAGTCTGCACAGAATATAAAGTGAGCCCATAGTTGACACGGTTCTTGCACTTTAAAGGGAACACTATAGCAGAGTAGTTGAGAATAAGGCAGAAATGGTTGAAAACCTCATTCTATTTGTTGGTACATGAGCTTCGGGGGAGTTACTTCAACATTCTTAGTATTCATTTGTTTTATCTATAAAATGGAAATTAGAGGATCATTGTGAAGATCAAATGAAATAATATTGATGCTTAGCACAATGCGTGTACAATAAAAACCTAGTATTTTCATCTAGGGTGTTATGATGAGAAGTCTGTTTTTTGAAAGGGTTGGGCTTAATCTATATTCTGGCAGTTGTTTTTGTGATGTGGAACAAATGTGGATAGAAAAACAGAGCTTAAAAATTTTAGCTTTTACATTAACGAAGTCAATAAGAAACAATTGGGGGTTTCCAGTCAAGCTAGATACGAGAGTGGTATTTTGTACGTCTGTTCCTAAGTTGTCATCTTACTGTCCTCCACCCTTGGGTAGCTCTGTGTAGGGACATAGATGTGATGGCGGCAGAGCCACCAGCTCTGGACTCGTGGTCGGGCTTTAGTCCTGCTCCACAGCTTGCTGGTTGGGTGGCTTTGGATCTTAGATCCTTGCCCTTTGCAAGTCTTAGTTTTTTCCCTTCTAAAATAGGGATAATCATAGCACCTAGCCTTTAAAAGTTTTTTTTTTTAAATAAATACAAGGGCCAGATATTGTTCTAAGTACATTACTACTTTCAACTCATTTAGTCCTATTAAAATCCTGTGAAGTCGGTGTTTTGGCTCTTCCTGCCTTACAAATGAGAAACTGAGGTGCAGGGAAATAAATAACTTGTCTAAGTTGCTTAATTAATAGAGTGAAGATTCAAATCCAGGCCATCCAGCTCCAGAGTTTGTTCTTAATCCCTAGGCTCCAATCCCAGTTCCATGAAGTAGCTCTGATGGAACCTACCAGATGTGCTAAATGCACAGTGCCAAACCCTAGTACATAACCTGGTAAAATTCTGTGCTTGGTTTTCTCTGGGAAAGGTAGAGATTTTCTAATATTTTTTAAGCAAAAACATTTTTGAATTCAATTACATTAATGACTACTAAATGTGTTTGGGCTTAAATGTTTTGAAGTACTGCAATAAATTCAGGAATCCTGGGGACCGTGCCTGCCCTTTCCCCATAGAATGTCTCAGAGCTGGAAGACTGAGATGCCTTCAGGTCTGGGACCTCTTATTTGAAGATGGGAAAACTGATTTATACAAACAGGAAAATAAGGTAACTAAGAATAAGACTCTTAGTATCCTGTTGATTATAGATAATGATTACTTAACACATATCATTCATTAAAAAGTAGGATCATTCTCTAAACTTTGTTATATAATATGTTATAAAGTAGGGAAAAATTTTTTTAAACCTTTGGCTAAATTACTTGGAGTTTTAAATATAATTCCCTTGCTCTTTTAATTCTCTCTCTGCCTTGCATCCTGAATTGTCCTTCATTCTCCTGTTTTGTGCATCTGTGTCTTATTCTCTCTCTCTGTTCTTTCTGTTCTTTCCTGATACTTTTAAGAGACTGATGGCATTGAATGCTTATAGTCCATTTTAAGTTAATGGTATGAAGTAGTAAGAACCTGCCTGGGAGACTTCCCCTTTTGTCTTCAGATTAGGATTTGCTAGGTAGTTCTTAAAAATAAAAGGGCCTTATTCTCAGACCCTCTGTTACAGCTCTATCAGCAGCCTTCTCTCCTTCGCTCCCAAATGGATGCCCTCTAATAGTTGGAAATTACAACCTCCTCTCTCAAACTCACCCCTTCCTGCACTGGTGTAGGTAGTCACTGTGGGTTGAGTGTGAGCTGGAGCTTGAGCTTGGTGCTTCTGGTGTCAGTATGGTAAGATAAGCAGTGGGTTGAGATTAAAGATGATGGCGTGAGAGGAGAGACAGAGACTTCCTCCTAAAACTGGATACAATTAGAAAATATAGTTGGCACAACTAATCCTGAGAGAGCAACAAGAAAGAGGATGGCACCAGACTGCACACACCTGGAGAAAAGAGCAGACCTTACGGAATAGGGTAACTACCAAAGCAGTGGCTGGGTGGGACCCAAGCCCTTCTCCCGCCCCAGATCACCAGTGGGAGGAAGAGAAACAGAGCAGGGAGGGAGTGGAGGCCTGGGACTGCTGAATACCTAGCTCTGGAGATCTGCTCTGGAAGCACAAACTTACATTTCATGGTGTTTTTATGATACTCACATGACTACTGGATTGGAAAGTTAATACAGGCAGAATTCCTTGAGAGACAGATTCCAGCTGCTTGTGGAAAGCAGGGATCCATATCCGGCTGCTCTGGGACAAAAGCCTGTACGTGTGTGCTTGGCCCACCGGCTCAGGCAGTGGAGACAGGCACAGCAGCCGGGAAGCAGGGAACAGCTCTTTGCCCCCACCCAGGCACCAGTACTGCTCCCCTTTGACCCCTGACATTGCTTCAGGGGCTGAGCAGCTCCAGAGTAGAGCTTCTGGACACTAGAGGGCGCCATATACAAACATTGAAACGCCAAAGGAACCTTGTCCAGAGTAAAATTAATATAACTCCAGAGAAAGATTTAAATGACATGGACCTTATGACTCTTCCTGAAAGGGAGTACAAAATAAAAATCATCAACATGCTAATGGAGGTATGGAAAGATATTCAAGAACTCAGGAATGAATTCAGGTCAGAGATCCAATTGCTGGAGAACACGATGGAGGGTATTAAAAGCAGGTGGGATACAGTGGAGGAGACGATAAATGAAATAGAAACTAGAGGAGAGGAATACAAAGAAGCTGAGGCACAGAGAGAAATAAGGATCTATAAGAATGAAAGAATATTGAGAGAACTGTGTGACCAATCCAAACAGAACAATATTCACATTATAGGGATACCAGAAGAAGAAGAGAAAGAGAAAGGGATAGAAAGTGTCTTTGAGGAGGTAGTTGCTGAAAACTTCCCCAGTCTGGGGAAAGAGATAATCTCTGAGGCCATGGACATCCACAGATCTCCCAATACAAGGGACCCAAGGAAGACAACACCAAGACATATAGTAATAAAACTGGCAAAGATCAAGGATAAGGACAGACTATTAAAAGCAGCCAGAGAGAGAAATAAGATCACATACAAAGGAAAACCCATCAGGTTAACATCAGACTTCTCAGCAGAAACCTTACAGGCCAGAAGGGAGTGAAGGGAGTGGCATGATGTATTTAATGCCATGAAGCAGAAGGGCCTGGAACTAAGATTACTTTATCCGGTAAGATGATCATTTAAATTTGAAGGAGGGATTAAACAATTTCCAGATAAGCATAAGCTGAGAGAATTTACCTCTCACAAACCATCTCTGCAGTCTATTTTGGAGGGACTGCTATAGATGGAAGTGTTCCTAAGGTTGAATAGCTGTCACCAGAGGAAATAAAACCACAGTAAAGAAAGTAGAACAGCTAATTACTAAGCAAATGCAAAATTAAATTAACTATCCCCAAACTCAATCAAGGGATAGACAAAGAATACAGAATATGATACCTAATATATA